GAGCGCCGAATGCACACTTCTAAAAGTTTACAGACAGAAGACCGTTGCTCGAGTGTAAGAAACCTAGCTCAAGCGAAGAACATTACCTCCCCAGTATCTCTGCAGGCTTGCAAAAATACTGGGAGCTCATAAAGCTTGCTCGAGCGAAGAGGCCAAATTTTGGACAACAACAGTTTGAACCAACAAACAACCTACCTGTTCCAAATACAACCAAGGCACTCCAATACTCAAACTCAATAAGAAATAAGGAGAAAAGACGAGAGCAACAATACAGAATCATGAAACCCGAGTCCAGAATGCAAGATGGGTTGGGTCTAAACCAGAATCGCTATAAGAAGGTTCACTTCTTTTTCTACTGCAATTATGTAATGATCATTTTTAGTTATGAAAATTATTAAAATTAGACTTCGCAATAAAATGAAGATAAATTTGTTATAGACTCTTCATTTATATATATTGAAAAGAAAATTGCTGAAAATTTTATTACAGAGTCAATCATTGAACACTTTCGAGATATTAAAGAACGTTGAATTCTACTTTAATAGATGATTGAACTGATTTGTATAAATAATTACTTAATACATGACTTTACTTTTATTCATATATTAAATTCATAAAATATATGGTTGCTTTATTTTTATGTACTAATTTAATATTGAATTTTAGTTTATTTTTTGAATTCAAAAAAAATAATAGTTCATATCAATTCATATAAAAAAATTTATTCGTATCTTGGCCCCTACAATGAATTTCTCATTCCGTCCCTGGAAATAATACAACCCAATAATAAAGGAACAAAACTAAACAAATTTCCATATTTTCTAAAATAAAAAGGAAAACAAAACATGTATATATGTATATATATATTCAAATGATCAAAACCCGTTATCAAAAAAAAAAAAAAAAAGGATAAAAACCCAGAAGCGCATATATATGTATTGATGGAGGACCTTTCAAGGAGTAGAACGAGAGGGACAATGAAGGCAGCAACAAAGACAAAGCGATAGGCAATCAAGACGCTCATGCTCATTCCAATACTCGAAGCCAATTTGTAGAATACACTGTTTCCTGCCAATGCAGCCTAAACCACCACCATCATTATCGCGGGCTTCAACCCATGTATAATGTTCGCTATCTTCCCCATCTCCCTCCACCCACAATGCCATATATATATCTCTATCTCTCTCTATATATATGTATGCATAGTGCTTAAGAGAGCAAGAACAAGCAAGAAGATTGAGAACCAGCTTCGTCTTCTGCTTGCTTGTCTGAAATTCAATTGAAAATGAAAAACAACCACACACAATGAATATATGTATGTGTGCGTATGTGGATAGAGAGAGAGAGCGCGAGAGTCAAAGCTATTAAACGTTCTCTACAAATCGAGAGAATAAGATCCAATTATTGCAATCGTTCAATAGTGACTAAACTGCTACATCTCAAAGCTCATCGTAGCCGATTGCACAATCTACTTGGCAGAGTATGTCAAAAGCAATGAGATCTGCAACCAATTGTCAACAACATTCGGCTGAACCACCCTCTTTCTCCTCTTCTAATATTAACAACACAAATATTTATATATATAAATTGAAAGGAGGGATTGTGCAATTAACCCTACACATACACACACATACACAAATATATATATATACACACTAACGGGTGACACACGCACTACGTGTGCAATTCAGATAAGTAGGGTGGAGGGATCCCTTGATCCAAGTGTATTTGTAGAGATAAGTTAGGTCTTAGAGAGAGAGAGCGAGAGAGAGAGTAGATCTAGGGTTTTTGAGAGAAAAGATGTGAAAAAGTGATACAAAAAAGTGCTGCTACAAACTGATATACGCGCAATTCGCTCGAGCGAAGAGTTGTCGCTCGAGCGATCAGACAAAATAAGTTGTTCCGCTTGAGCACAGAATGCACACTTCCAGAAGTTTTATAGACAGAAAACCGTCGCTCGAGTGCAAGAAGCCTCGCTCGAGTAAAGAATATTATCTCCCCAGTATCTCTGCAGTCCTGCAAAAATACTGGGAGCTCACAAAGCTTGCTCGAGCGCAAGAAGCTTCGCTCGAGCGAAGAGGCCAAATTCTGGACAATAACAGTTTGAACCAACAAGCAACCCACATGTTCCAAATGCAACCAAGGCACTCCAATACTCAAACTCAATAAGAAATAAGGAGAAAAGACGAGAACAACAATACAGAATCATGAAACCCGAGTCCAAAATGCAAGATTGGTCGGGTCTAAACGAGAATCATTATAAGAAGGTTCACTTCTTTTTCTACTGCAATTATGTAACAATCATTTTTAGTCATGAAAATTATTAAAATTAGACTTCGCAATAAAATCAAGATAAATTTGTTTTAGACTCTTCGCTTATATATATTGAAAAAAAATTGTTGAAAATTTTATTACGGAATCAATCATTGAACATTTTCAAGATATTAAAGAACATTGAATTCTACTTTAATAGATGATTGACTTGATTTGTATAAATAATTATTTAATACCTGACTTTACTTTGATTCATATATTAAATTCATTAAATATGAGGTTGCTTTATTTTTTATGTACTAATTTAATATTAAATTTTAGTTTATTTTTTGAATTCAAAAAAATAATAGTTTATATCAATTCATATAAAAAAATTTATTCGTATCTTGGCCCCTAGAATGAATTTCTGATTTCGTCCCTGGAAATAATATAACCCAATAATAAAGGAACAAAACTAAACAAATTTCCATATTTTCTATAAAAAAAAAACATGTATATATATATTCAAATGATCAAAACCCGTTACTAGAAAAGGAAAACCAAAAAAAAGCATCAAAACCCATAAGCGCATATATATGTACAGATGGAAGACCTTTCAAGGAGTAAAACGAGAGGGACAATGAAGGAAGCATCAAAGACAAAACGATAGGCAATCAAGACGCTCAAGCTCATTCCAATACTCGAAGCCAATTTGTAGAATACACTGTTTCCTGCCATTGTAGCCTGAACCACCACCATCATCATCGCTGGCTTCAACCCATGTATGGTGTTCGCTATCTTCCCCATCTCCCTCCACCCACAATGTCAAATCTCTCTCTCTATATATATGTATGCATAGTGCTTGAGAGAGGAAGAACAAACAAGAAGATTGAGAACCAGCTTCGTCTTCTCGCTTACTTGTCTGAAATTCAATTGAAAATGAAAAGCAACCACACACAATGAATATATATATATAGATATGTGTGTGTGTGTGTGTTTGTGGGTAGAGAGAGAGAGAGAGTCAAAGCTATTAAACGTTCACTACAAATCGAGAGAATAAGATCCGGTCATTGCAGTCGTTAAATAGTGACTAATTTGCTACATCTAAAAACTCATTGGAGCCGATGGCACAATCTACTTGGCAGAGTATGTCAATAACGACGAGTTCTACTACAAATTGTCAACATCATTCGGCTGAACCACTCTCTTTCTTCTCTTCTAATATTAACAACACAAATGTATATACATATATATATATATAAATTGAAAGGAGGGATTACGCTATTAACCCCACACATACACACACACACACACACATATATATGTACACTAACGGGTGGCACACGCACTACGTGTGCAATTCAGATAAATAGGGTAAAGGGATCCCTAGATCCATGTCTATTTATAGAGAGAAGTTAGGTTTTAGAGAGAGAGAAAAAGAGTCGATCTAGGGTTTTTGAGAGAAGGGATTACGCTATTAACCCCACACATACACACACACACACATATATATGTACACTAACGGGTGGCACACGCACTACGTGTGCAATTCAGATAAATAGGGTAAAGGGATCCCTAGATCCATGTCTATTTATAGAGAGAAGTTAGGTTTTAGAGAGAGAGAAAAAGAGTCGATCTAGGGTTTTTGAGAGAAAAGATGTGAAAAAGTGATGTAAAAAGGTGCTACTGCAAACTGATATACGGGCAAGTCGTTTGGGCGCAAAAGTTGTCGCTTGAGCGACCAGACATAATAAGTTGTTCTGCTCGAGCGCAAGAAGCTCCACTCGAGCGCAGAATGCACACTCCTAGAAGTTTTACAGACAGAAGACCGTCGCTCGAGTACAAGAATCCTCGCTCGAGCGACGAACATTACCTCCCCAGTATCTCTGCAGGCCTGCAAAAATACTGGGAGCCCACAAAGCTTGCTCGAGCACAAGAACCTTCGCACAAGCGAAGAGGCCAAATTTTGGAGAACCACAGTTTGAACCAACAAGCAACCCACCTGTTCCAAATAAAACCAAGGCACTCCAATACTCAAACTCAATAAGAAATAGGGCGAAAAGAAGAGAACAACAATACAGAATCATGAAACCTGAGTCTAGAATTCATAATGGGTCGGGTCTAAACCAGAATCGCTGTAAGAAGGTTCACTTCTTTTTCTACTGCAATTATATAACGATCATTTTTAGTCATGAAAATTACTAAAATTAGACTTCGCAATAAAATAAAGAAAAATTTGTTATAGACTTTTCGCTTATATATATTGAAAAGAAAATTGCTGAAAATTTATTACGGAGTCAATCATTGAACGCTTTCGAGATATTAAAGAACGTTGAATTCTACTTTAATAGATGATTGAATTGATTTGTATAAATAATTATTTAATACATGACTTTACTTTTATTCATATATTAGATTCATTAAATATATGGATGCTTTATTTTTTGTGTACTAATTTAATATTAACTTTTAGTTTATTTTTTGAATTCAAAAAAATAATAGTTTATATCAATTCATATAAAAAAAATTTATTCGTATCTTGGCCCTTATAATGAATTTCTGATTCCGTCCTTGAAAATAATACAACCTAATTGTAAAGGAACAAAACTAAACAAATTTCCATATTTTTTTAAAGTAAAAAGGAAAAAAAAATGTATATATATATATATTCAAATGATCAAAACACGTTATCAAAAAAAAAAAAAGATCAAAATCCTGAAGCACATATATATGTATAGCTGGAGGACCTTTCAAGGAGTAGAGCGAGAGGGACAATGAAGGCAGCAGCAAAGACAAAGCGATAGGCAATCAAGACGCTCATGCTCATTCCAATACTTGAAGCCAATTTGTAGAATACACTATTTCCTACCAATGCAGCTTGAACCACAACCATCATTATCACTGGCTTCAACCCATGTATAGTGTTCGCTATCTTCCCCATCTCCCTCCACCCACATTGCCAAATCTCTCTCTCTCTATATATATGTATGTATATATATGTATACATAGTGCTTGAGACAAGAACAAGTGAGAAGATTGAGAACTAGCTTCGTCTTCTCGCTTGCTTGTCTGAAAATCAATTGAAAATGAAAAACAACCACACACAATGAATATATATACGTGTGTGTGTATGTGTAGAGACATAGAGAGACAGAGAGAGCGAGTCAAAGTGACTAATTTTTCAATAATGATGATGAAACAGTAGCAGCAAGGCAAGATGAGGAGTCGCGGAGGATGAGGAAGAAGGAAAAAAAAAAGGAGGAAAAATACTTATTTTTGGTCAACTTTCGGAGATCCGACGGCATGTAAAAAGAGGTGGAACAAGGCATATGAGGGGTGAAATAAAAATTAGGCCATGAGTTGAATCTAACGACGTAAAAATGAGGTGAAACGGAGTTGCGACGAGGGAAATACAAGTGTTTGAATATGTTGATTTGAATATGAAAATTTTGCCCAAAGAGAGAAAAATCTTATTTTTGGCCAACTTTCAAAACTCTGATGACAAGTAAAAAGATATGGAATGAGACGTATGAAGAGTGGAATGAAAATTAAGCCATGAGGTGAATCCAACGACTCAAAAATGAGGCGAAACAGAGTTATGACGAGAAAGATACAACTGTTTGAACATGTGGGTTTGAATTTAAAATTATATATGCCTAGATTTCCGTTAGTTTAATATGACGGAGATGGACGGAGGGGTCAGATTGAAACACAGATGAAACTCTAGGGTTTAATTTTTCGAAATTGAAATTCCAGGGTTTAAATTGAAAAACATGCGAAACCTTGAATTTTTTTTTCTTTTAATTAACCCAAATTCTTATATCTAGTGGTTGTTTGATTTTAGTCGTTGATCTTATATAAAAGAGTTGCAATAATTATTTTTTCTGAAATTCTTACCCTTTTTTGGCTAAAAATTTTAAAATTACACCATCCACTCCCATAAAAAAAAAAGAGAAAAAAACAGATGCGGATTCCCTTCTAGTTCAGATTGAAGGGTATTGTTTGAGTCTGTGAGACTCATCATGAATTCCATTTTTTTTTTTTAAAAATTAGATAGTTCGATAAATATAACCTATTCAATTTATAACGTTTGTCACAAAAAATAAATAAATTAATCGTCTATTTTTAAAAACACAATTGTCAGATCAATTTAATTTTTTTATGTGAATAGTATACCCAAAATGCTTGATAAACACCGACAAAGTTATAGTATAATAACACCACTCAACTTGAAATTTTCTTAAACTAAATTTAAAATTTACCCAAAAATGTTTGAGATTCTACAAGTCAAACCTAGAGAAATTATATAAACAAAAAACAAAAATGTTATTCCCATTTCATTTTATTATAAATACACTATAAAATTCACATTTAAGTTGAAAATTACACATATATATGATTCTTAATGCACGTTAAAATGCAGATTTAGAGATAATATATTAAGAATAGTAGTAAAAATAACAACTATAATTGCCATGAGTATTAGTTCTACGAATCGCAACTACAATTGTGAAAAGATTTTTTTTGTTTCGATACAATTTATAAAGACCCTAATAAATAATGATTTTTTAATTTGAATAATGCTATAGGTACTAATTGGTGTATTAATTAGTATATCAGTTGATGACGTGACATAATTTAAGAGGTTTTTGGAATTTGTAATACGATTAATGAGTGAGGTCAATAATAATATCATAACTAGTGTTGGTATACTAGTTAGTATACTAATTGGTGCATGTAGCACCACCGTTTTAATTTATTGAGAGTAATGATTTAATTTACTTTTTGGCCACATATATTGAAAAAAAAATATTTGATAGCATAAATAAATTGGTAATTCTATGCTACACGTCCTAAAGGATGTATATCATATGTAGATTATGATATTTGTGGGTTTGATTCCCACAAATGTCATAACTCAATCCTACGAGGATCATAACTAAAAAGAAAAGAGTTTTAACCAAAAACTACACAATGTATACAAAGAGTGTTTGGATCATAACCAAAATAATATCATTAGTCATAACTGATACCACAATAGGTTATAACCAATGACTACAAAAGTCGTTACTAGAGATGCGTATAATAGAATTTTCCTAAATAATAAGGTTATCATATAGCGATTTCAAAAAATGAAAACTTGATGTGAGCAATTGTATACGTGTAGATTTGCTTTATTTTTTGTTGAAGTATTAATGTCTCAACTTTTGCTTTGTATATAATTTAACAAGTTTTGATTAATTTTGTTAATGTAATTGAAAATATATAAAATTGTAGTGTAAAAATACATAACGGTATTGATGATACTTGTTAAATGACTCTACTAAAATAAAATCCTAACTGTGCCATTGTTGATAAAATGAATGGTTTGAATCATCGAAATAGAACCCATAGATCCTACAAACCTGAACAACACCGTCTAATTCAAATTATGCTCTAACTGCACCCAAAAAATTAGCTGGACACCCCATTACTTTGAACACTGCAATTGAAAATTTAAATTTTTTATTATTTTTTTGGGCATCCCAAATAATACATATTATGCCCCTAAAAATCCTAAAAGCTCTAGAAATATACTAGAAACCTATTTTCTACATCCTATTAGTCTAATAGTTACAACAGAGGCACAAGCTCATTTTTCATGGTGAAGACAACCCATGATCTCCAACACCCTTGTTGCCAACCTGCCATCTCCAACCCCTCTTCGTCTCCAACCCTTAACGAGGGAAATACAAGTGTTTGAATATGTTGATTTGAATATGAAAATTTTGCCCAAAGAGAGAAAAATCTTATTTTTGGCCAACTTTCG